TTTCGAACTACACGTCGTGTAAGTCTTCGTTCGATAAGACTAGTTTACCGCCATCAAATCCCGATAGGGCAGTTCGCGATGTGTGCTCCCCTGGGCACAGGTATACATCGTCTGGAGGTGTAAACAGGCGGTAACAGGTCCCGTCGGTTACATTCACATGCACAGGGTCAACCACACCTAATGTTAGAAGGGCCAGCGTAGAGGCTAGTTCGTTGTGCATGGTTGACACTGGCGACTCGCTGAAATTGGACAAAAAAAAAAAAAACACTGAGGCACATGTGGGACTATACATAGCCAAGATTAGTAAGTGCTCAGGACTGCTGGTAATGAGCTGATAAATGCGGTAGTCGCAACCAAATGAATCCAACATGCAGTTAGGACAGGAAATGCATAGCAGACATTAATAGCTGTCGACGAAAGTATAGTGTAATAACAATGACGTAAACTGAAATTAATTAAATGTGTCTAAGAACCACACTTTCTGTCGGTGGGATCCGAACCCACTGACCTCGAGTTACGCTTCCGATGCTCTGCCGATTGAACACTACAAAAGGCGCTTCCCCGTCCATAGTCACCCCCCTCCCCCAGGTATCGCCTTAGTTTAACTGAAACACCCTTCCCCACATGCTTCACCTCTCCCCATATCTTTTTTTTCTTTTTGTCTCGCTCTTTTCTGGCGACTCAGGGGCTTTCCCAAACTGTCAATGTTCTCAAAAGCTGACTGCAACATTATAGTTGAAACACTGCCGCACACTTCTGAACAAATGCGAGTTAAGCTTCGGTATAAATATTATAGGTAATCGTTTCTGAACGAACTGTGTAAAAAGTAATAGAGAAAACAAGCGGAAGGACCTTAGCCAACGTTCAATATAATCCATGACAGCTACGAGGCCCAACAGCGAAGTGCAAACGGTATACTATAGCACTACGGCGTATAAATATATGCATATGTATGCGCAGTGTGCGAGGCAAACAAGAGTCTTACACGTAGTAGTGTACACTGTACACGGTCTGTCGACAAGGCGACGTTTCGGCGCCGGAATATGTCGGAGCCCGGCGAGCGCCAAATTCATCCCGACGCGCGTTTTAACCAGGCATTGCACAAGCCTGTCTTTGTATATGATCGATAACCAATGCGCTGTGGAGACACCTCAGCGTGGTTTGCATACTGAGCGTTCTAAAGTGTCGGGCTCCTCCCAAAGACACGAGCGGGGCAGCTCTCTCGTGTGTTTGTACGTGCCAAGTCCGGGATGACCGGTTGTGAGGTGGGCCTTCGTGAAGTTTGCTTCTGCGCACGGTATACGGAAGGGATGCGCAGGCCAATCGCCGAGACATGGCATGCCCAGTGTGAACACTGCTACAACACGACAAACAGTGAATAATGCCACTATTGTAAGCAAACAGATCATTTGTGAAAGCACTACATAAATTAATTCCTCAATTATCGCCTTAATAAACTATTCTTCTTTTGCAGATTTTCTTAGTGTATTGTTCCACCGTAGATTTTCTTTCATACATAATCTCTTAGGAGGGTCGTTGGGGGAGATTGGGGAAAGTCTCTAAGAGACAGCTGAATATCTTTAAAGAAAGTTGTATGTGGAGCAAGTCAGGAGCCACCAGAAATAGTTACACTCTTGTTTAACTTATATAGCGTGTCCGGCGTGCATGCATACGTCTCATTTTGTGTGCTTTTATCTATCTCGTGACACGCAATATTCGCGATCGAAGCTCCCAAAGAATTAACTTATTTATTTACGTATTTATTTATTTATCAACCGATCGATCGACTGATTCATTCTGGTTAATTGCTTATGTCAACGCTGGTTCTATACGAGACATATCGTAGTGAAAAACAAAAAAAAATTTACTTCCTAGAGTACGAAACCTGTACACTGACACATTTGCATTTCTACCCCACTGAAATTGGCCCCGCCACGGTGGTATAGTGGCTAAGGTACTCGGCTGCTGACCAGCAGGTCGCGGGATCAAATCCCGGCTGTGGCGGCTGCATTTATGATGGAGGCGGAAATGTTGTAGGCCCGTGTGCTCAGATTTGGGTGCACGTTAAAGAACCCCAGGTGGTCGAAATTTCCGGAGCCCTCCACTACGGCGTCTCTCATAATCGTATGGTGGTTTTGGGACGTTAAACTCCACACATCAATCAAAATACCCTACTGAAATTCGGCTGCGACGTCCGGCAATCATGTTCGCGACCTCGAGCTCAGAGACAGGCTACCACGGTACACAGAAAATTCTCAAAAATGACATGAAATGTCAGAAATCAGTGTTGTGAAAGCGAACATCACTCAGTCTGAATTTCACGCGGGCTTTTTTCGCGCAATGTGTGGGCGAAGTGTACTGGCTGGCTTGTCATTCTGATCAATGTATATTAAAGAATATTATGTCTTCGCCAATTCGGTTTCAGTGACCCAAAGCAGTCAGGAGTGCCTGCTGGGGCTGTACATGAACCATGCCGTTCACTGTTAGACACAAGACCAATCGGCGGCTTTCCCTTTGCACGGTTCTCTGGGCACAAATGATCGCATACGGCTATGCCGTGTACACGAAATAATAATAATAATAATAATAATTATTATTATTATTATTATTATTATTATTATTATTATTATTATTATTATTATTATTATTATTTCCGCCACCTGGGGTTCTATTCTACAGTCCGCGGGTGCATGTAGCATTTGCTTCCAGCGAAATACAAACCCCTCGGTCGGAATCGAACCCACGACCTTTCGAGTCAGCAGCCGAACACCGTGACCGCAACACTGCCACGGCGGTCTGCACATGGAACGGACTAAACCTTGAGTCGTGTGCTGAAAAGTATACATAGCGTCAGAGTATGCACACGCGCCTATACTGTATACATCTTCGTGTTAACTTGGCCAGCGTACACAGCCTTTTGCGCAAGATAAGTTTAGGCTGACGAGATATAAGCCTGACAACGAAATTTACGAAACATGGGCCATGCCGAAAACCATTTCTCTTCCATTAATGCTTGGCCCTGTTGCGTAGCTTTGTAAGCCGCGAAGTCTATTAAACTGAAGCGTGTAATAATGGGTGTGTTCCCATGAGAATCGGGAATCCAGCTATTTAATTCGCAGATTACTTGCCCCGCTGATTCATTAGCGCGATAGCGACGAACAACTCGTTTCGCAGAAATGCCAGGGTCGTTGTCGCCGTCGTTGGTTGTGAGCGAAAAACCATATTCTTGTCCGGGACCGAAAAATCGAGAGATATACAAATAAACTAATTATTAAAATCTTCGGAGCAAGCGAGAATCAAACTCATGCCGTCTGCGAAGCAAGTACAATGTTTCTTCAAATTGCTTCAAGAAAAAAAAAAAGAACCGGGATCACTATATGAATGTAATATAAACTGGTTAAAGGAGTTTCACTTACGCAAGTAACATAGCGTGTCAGAAGCGTAGAATCACGCAGGCTTCAAAACATGCGAATCACTCCACTATAGTGGGTGTTTTGAAAGCCCAGTCAATGCAAGGCGCCCAGACATATTTAATAATCAACAGCTTCAAAAGCATAAACAACGTGAGCAGCTACATGTTCGGTCAATTTTAAGCCTCATTTGGGTGTCGTATACTTAAAGGAGGCGAGCTGTTTCGTGTGTGTCGATTCAACTTGCGCGTTCGCACAACACAGCAGTTATAGCCACTTATTTGGACAGCCTCGTGTTAGGCTGTCTGAATAATTTTTCATCACGAATTATTTTTGTTCAGTAAGCTTTATAAAGAGATGAATGACATAGAACCTCTGGTCAGGTTCGTCAAAGGATGTGCACGGAACAGCTAACACGACTTGAAGTCATCACATCCGTGCAATGCCTATGTAAAAAAAGAATTATGTTCAAGGAACAAAAAAAAGTTTGAATTTATCGCCACTGCTGAGTCATTGGGAGATTCGATCATTTATCCTTTAACTGTGTGATAGAATGCCTCTCAAGCTATAGATGGTATATATAAATATATATATATATATATATATATATATATATATATATATATATATATATATATATATATATATATATATATATATATATATATATATAGGAGCGCAATTTTCAAGGACCATGGCCACAATCTAGAAGCCGGATTAGGGAGAGGGGGGAGGGTCATTTTTGTTCTCTTAGCTGGCTCCAAATAAAGTTGTTCCTCATACTAATATTTTCTCTTTTTTAATAACAAATAAGTGAGAGTGCCCTATTATTTGCATGCATACCATTCATGCTACATATCAACTGAGACATTAATAAATATTAATACATAAACATTAACTACAAGGCTGATCAATGTGAGCATATACGTGTCGGAGAAGCAAGTCATATAAATCAAGTAAAATGTAAGGTTGTCATGGCTCCGATCACTCTCCAGGCCACGCCCAACTAACTATAAATGGATCAATAGCAACAATATTTTAAGGCCAATGCTAAGACAGCTTCTGGAAGCAACATGTGAACCATTCGCTACATACATCGTCGTTCCGAGTCTTCGGGGCCTTGTAATGACTTCTTGTAGCCTTCGCTTGATCTCTCTTGCGAAATCCAATGTTTTTTTTTTTATTGACAATCAATTGCTGGTTATTATATTTGCTTGAAAATTGGCGAACCTTGCAGCAAGGTATGAGTTTCGATTCTCGCACCGTGGTCACCTGGTGACCTTCAATGGCCGACGCTGGACCACGCCTTCGGCGGAAGTCGCAAGCACGTGTTTGCAACGCTCACTACCAGATGAGTCCGGCTACCGAGTAAGATCGGATAACGCTGCCTGAACAGGCAATGATCCGTTTACTGTCATTAAAACACATATTCTCTTCAGTGTAATCACTGAGTGGGCAGAAGGGGCGCCTATCTGTAAATTGATAACATTCAGGTTTCAAACAACTTAAACGTTTGTAGACGTTCAAGCAAGCCAGTGACACTTCTTCAATAAGAGTTGACGGCCTTAATTGTAAAGAAGAGAAACGCACCTGTTGCTTCAACCGCCGCCAAGAGTCGCTGCGGGGCGGTGGTACGGCCCTAGCCACTGGCTTCACCGCCACTACTACCGTCTTCCTCTGTACGCTCGCACTTCGCATGACGACCCGGTGTCAGACGACGAGACGGCCTCACATCCTCCTCGGAATCTGCTTCATCACTTTGCACCGTCGCGGCGGGACACCACAAACACCACGATGCACTCGGCGAAACACCGTGTACGTCGAAGCAGCACGATTCCTGCCGTAGCTCCGAGTCGGTGGACGAAGGAAGCGGGGAAATGGTAATGGGCACTTTGCGTGGTCGCTCGCACGTCACAACAGTGTGTGTATAATATAATCCGGATGTTTCCTTCTGAGGGCGTGAAGTTCGCCGCCGCTCCAGTTGGGAAGATCGTGACAGGCGCGACTATGCAACTACCTGCGAATGCTTCTGCTCGCTTGCCACGGAAAGACGACAGAGAGAAAGACTGGGAGGAGAGAAGGTTGCCGCGGAGAGCAGCGGAGGAGGAGAGGGGAGCGCACTGAACGGCGACGTGCGAGCAGCAGCAGCGCTATCCGAGGAGCGCGGGGAGCTGCGGAATCCGGTAACGCGCACTGTCTCCGCGGCGCGTCGCCGCCGACGACGGCTAGCGCGACGCCGCGGCGCAGCGCTGGGCTAGGCGGATGGATCGGGAGGGAGGAGGGACGGGAGGCAAGAGAGAGAGGAGGAGGACCGGAGTAAAAAAGGAGGAAGACGCGCTCGTCGGGCGGTCGTTCGTTAGCTCGCGGTTGTTGCAGCATCAGCAGCGCCGCCGTTAGGGACGAGTCGCGGCGCTCGCTGACGGCACGACGCGCAATGCCCGACGAAGAGGGAGGCGAGCGGCGGCGCTAGACAGCGCTGGCGCTCCGGAACGCCGCCACCAGCCCTCCTTTCTTCTTCCGGGCGGTGCGTAGGAGTGCCAGACCACGCCCCGCCTAGGCGGACGCCCCTCCTTCGCATCGCGCCCCCTCTTCCCCCCCCCCCCAATACTTCTATCTTTGCCCACACCACAATACCCTCGTTCGCGTGCTTAACACGGGGATATCATTCAAGAACTCCCCCCCCCCCCCTTATTTCCCTCTTTCACTCACTCCGCTGTTAGGCGAGTGTCGTGATGCTGAAACAGGCGCTGATGGAGAGAGGTGCGTGGTTCTACAGGAAGCTGAGGGCATCTTGGCAGGTGTTCTGTGACTAGAGAAAATAACAGCGATTCCTAGAGGAAGGTGAATAGAAAAAAAAAAAAACGATGCCTCTGGAAATTGATGCGGCAAGGTATGTGAAGTGTTACTGGTGGACTGACGAGCGTGTACAACAGAATAGAGGAATGTTCTTTTGTATGACTTTTCCCATCATATTGCAATCCATGTGGATCCAGCACGAGGGCCAAGGCATCGGGTAAAAGTATACGCTTACAGGAGCCAGCACTTCATCCGGTTGTTCTGCTTGGCGGAGCATGAAAGGGCTGCTCACTGTCAAGTGACGGTGCAGTGCATGAAACGCCATAGAGTCTCCTCTGTGACGATAAGGTCAAGGATGGTCGAAGGGAATTTGAATAAAGAACAAAATTTCATTTTGCGTCGAGACTGGAATTTCACTGTCAAAAAAAAAAAGACCTTAAAATTTATTGCGCAGTTAACAAACTTTCGAACTGTTTCCTGTGCAAGGGTATTCACGTGTCTCGCCGATCAAGAGAGCGGTGACCGTAGTGGAAGAAGAAGCTGTTTTCGCATGTCAGGACGAAGGTCAGGGACAATGTTACCTGCTAGGTATGTTGAGAAACGCTTTGAGGGAAGTGGACTTGTCACAAGCCCACTTGTCGAAACGTTCAGTGAGTATTTTTACCTCTTTAAACCTTACGCTGATCGTCCCTTCTTAAGATGCTGGGTATACTGCAGCAGCTGCAGGAAGAGGGAGGTGATCGGTGGGCTCAGCCCTAGCTCCAAATCTTTAAATTGTGTATGTGCGCACGTTTTATGTGCATGTGAACGCACAATGTGTGGTTCATACTCACCCATACGCATGATGAGAGGGGATACACGTCGATGAGATGGATGTAGACGGTGTGTCGCAAAGACTAGAGGTTTGTACAAATGCTGAGCTAAGTCTCTAAAGCGATCATATTGTTACGTCTTAAAACCACGATATTATTATGTAAATTGACACGAAGCGTCACTATTTTCAAGCGTGCTTGCACTGATGTGCACAGCATCTACCAAGAAGGGAACGGGACAGCACATGCACCGGGCAGGCCAGTCCTCTTCGAAGTCTCCTGCAGCCAGACTAAGACGATAGTTATAGTGCGAGAACGAAACGACGACACAGACACAAAAAGGACACGAAGGACACTGTGTCTCTGTGTCGTCGTTTTGTTCTCGCGCTATAACTATCGTCATGCCATACCAACTAGCCCAAGCTGCCACACTTTTAAGCCAGACTAAGACTTCGATTGTGTTATGTACGCCGCAGCACACACTCGATCGAAAAATGGCCAGGCCACCTGAAAGGAGTATATCCGAGAGCGCGTCCGTGTGCGTATGGTTGTGTTACTTAGCACACACAGTATACCTGGTTTCAGTTTTCTTTTTGCGGGGTGTGTTGCAACCCCTGATCCACCAAAGCAGATTTGCTAACCTTCGACATGAGCGTCACAAGCACGAATCTGACGCTGAACTCCAGCGTACGCAGTCGATAGAACGCAACGTGTGGAAATTACAGATAACTGGCTTTTAAATAAAGCGCAAGGAAATTGTTAAGTAAAAGGTATTATCAAGCTTAATTGGGGAAAAGTACTTTTCAGAGTTGAAAAATAATAAATTCGGGGCTCCAACCCGGCTTGCCTTGCTGGCTGTTTGATATCGACGGCGTCACCTCATGCTATCGCTGAGCGAAAAAAAAAAATTACCATGTCCCTAAGTCAACTGAGACGATTTAAGGGCGATAGCATAATGATGTTTAAAGATGGCTCGTCTTTTTTTTTTTCAACGCAAACACCGAATGGACAGACTGAAACCGCAACTGGCGCGCATTGAGTCCCGGTACGTTTTGGTTCGGGCTTTTTCGTGATCACGTCAGATTTTTTTTTTTCTTTTTCGCCTGGGGAAGCATATAAGGCCTGTCGCCTTGGAACCCTTGTAGAAGTTGCCTAAAGTGCTACAGTTAAACAGCTGCATGGGACAGTTTGGCGTTGCTGAAGAAAAAACTAAACATAGAAAAGAGAAAAACAAGGTATACCATGAGCGTGATAAGAAAGACGGCGTAAATGAGAACGCCCCGCGGCCACCCGTGGCTTGGAGCCTCTGTTCGCGACGCGACCTTGTTGGCCGACTCTGTTTTGGCTCAGTATTTTACGACCGAGGAAAAGTCGACGTCGTGTGGCAGATCAGGCGGCTGACAAAGGCGTCTAACGGCCGCTTTCCTCGTCCACGCAGGTCCAGGCGCGTATTTCCAACGCGGCCGAGAAGGTGCACGGACTTCTCGGTCGCCCTACATGTCAACGCTTGCGCCGTATTCTTCCTCGGTCACTCAGTTTGGGGCTATCGGCTAGGAGATATACAGCAACGCACACACACGCGTACTACACTGTTTACAATATTTTATAATTAAGGCTCGAGGCCCGCAAGCACGTGAACAGTGACTTCTTGTCGCGTATAACTCACAGGTGGCGCTTTCCCTTGGGCCGACAACATGCCGCAGTAATAAGACCAAACGCCGCCTGCGAAGTAGTTCAAGAAAAAGACCAAACTGTCCGACTCAAACTCACCGACGAAGGGCGAAGCAGGGAATGCTATGTGTTGGAGTGCTATACCAGTACAAATTTGAATGTTATACCAAGAAGGCTAAATGCTAACTTCTTTATCATCCTCGTGCTTAACAAAACGCTAGTGCACGAGGAAATGCTCCCGCTGCAGCCAGCGAAGTGTCATTCGCGCATGAAGTCCGTACATTTGAATAAAACTGAGCGGTAGAACACAGCAGGAACAAAGGTGAAAGCCGTCTGCTGCTCTATGTCAAGATAGACCACTCGCGACTACGCGCTATGCCACTGGACGTCCACAGTTCTTGCCAGAGCCATGCATACAGACCTCTGCCCGGGACCTCCATTGGGCTTTTCGCGTGGCGGAAGAGGGCCGGCTAATTTGCTCTCCGCACGAAGCATTATTGCCAGCTGCCCTCACGCACTTTGACTCGCGCATGCAAGTAGAATGCAAGGCGGGCTGGGCGATGTTATCGTCCTTGAACTTTATATTGAAATATCTTGACAACACCGACGATCACGGCAGTAATGCGCCTGAAGTGCCCACATAGATACGCTATCGCAAAAACTCACAGGGCCCCTTGTGTGTTCACATGATGCGATCGCAGTTAAGCGGTGATCAGATGTGCTCTAAGGTGGGCTCATGAAATAAATTGGCAGGCATTATGTAGAACTATAGCTGGCACAGGAGAGAATAAATGAGAGACCATTGGCGGCTGTATTTTTATAGCGCCAAAAATTAACGCAGTTCGCCAAACCTGAAGGAAGTGCGGAGCTGGGCTACAGCCTCCTTTATTTTTCTTCGGTTTTCTCTTTCTTTCTTTTTGAATTTTCCAGTTCTGGTTTTTTTTCAATTTATTTCTATTTTGATGCTATTTTTCTTTTTTTCTTTCATTCTGTTTCTCTCTTGCTTCCTTTCTTCAATTTTTATGCATGTTTTCATTTTAATTGCTACGCACTAGATATCATCATGAAGGTGCTCCACGAACAAGGGGAAGAATACTTAGCTTGAGTGCAAACGCGCGAACTAGGAATTGCTCTCAATTCTGAAAATATTGTTTGCCTTGGGGCTTCTTCTCTGGACCACAGCAACAGAAACGTCTGAATTGGCGTCTGCGAACTTCTCAGAGACGCAAGAAGAATTAATTGCCAAGTTAATCCTAATCAATATTTTACAGCAAAAGCTGTTATCAGATCAGAACACGGGTCACGCGCGGCACCGTGGATGCCTGCCGCCGATGTCTGTAACCAGTATTGCAAGAAATAAAAAAAGCTCTGTAAATAAAAACATTAAGAACCCAACTGAATCGGATACCTGGTCCCATGCGTGCCAGCCCAGTATTCTACCATGCACTGACCCACGCTGGTGCTTGGAAATCGTTTCTTAACTGGACTTAGGCATACCTTAATGTCGGGAAAGAAATCGCGTTAATATGAGTAATAAATCATTTTAGAACATTGAAAGAACAACCAGGCGTCACACAATGCAAATTGCGTAACGAGTGGGGTTATCCAATGCTCCAACCCGTTAGAAAACTTGTTCTTGATCACCTATTAACTGTGTTGCATACCCACTTCAGGCATAATTCTTTGTCGCCGTCAACCACTTCATAAAAAAAAATCGCACAAAATTCATAGCAAGCGTGTAGCGGACACCACGTT